AAAAAAAAAAAAACATGTGCTTTAAAGAGCTTTAAAAAGCCTGAAGAGGCCTTCGATCACAACAGTGTTTTTCTGACACAGGTGAAGGATTTTTTTTTTTCTTTCAAGGGACATTATCACAGCTAGCTCTAGGCAGTAGTAGCTAATGGTAATGGTAATACAATTCACAAACAAGCCCCAGTTTCATTGGAGGCAAGCACTCCATCCTCTTCCCTCTCTAACCTTCCCACTTGCTCACTTAAGTTTTACTTTTTGGTCCATTCCTGGACCACTCTTCTGGCAAATGGACTCATGTGTGGTCCAAAGTTGAAAACAGAGATGTCAGAGGCCAAAATAAGCCTGAATTTAGATAACCTGTGCCTGGAAAAATGGCCATTTGGTCCAGTGATGACTTTCAGGTGAACCAGCAGGTGAACTGGTGTCATTCTATCTGCCTCCCACTTCTTCCATCCAGAATCACAGATCTGCGCTGGGGCTGGTAAAAACAGCTAGTTGAAGTCTCTAGTCTTTGGCCATTTTTAGGGATGGTCATTTTATTCCTAAGCGTAACCCCTTCTGGTGTGACCCACGTGTTTTCTGCCAACTCCCCACAGAGAAGGCCAGGGGAAACTGTCTGAGTGGGACTTCTGATCGGGGACAGCAGGACCTTGGAATCTGTTACTGTGGATGAGGGGGGTAGGTGATCCATGATGGGGAATAAGATTAGGCTCTGAGGTCTTCCTGGCCTTGGCCTGTGGAAAGGCTTAGGACCCCCAGAAGGTCGCTCCAGTTTTGAAGAAAGAAGGTTGTCTCCAGATGGTTCTGTCTCTGATGTGCGCTTTCTGCATTGCACCATTGCATCCTGGGTAGACAGCATATGAGACATAGCTGGTTCTGGAGAGAGGGCAGGCCCCTCACATGTACAGGATGAAGTGCAGGAGGTGGCACTCTCCTTCCTTGGGGATGCAAAGGCTCCTGTATCTTGCTTTGGTTGCTCTCCCTTGGGGCTTTCCAGGGAAGAGGGAGACTCGTCTTTGGCGGGTTTCTGAGGGGTCTCACTAGTTGAGCTAGGTTCTTCTTGGCTCCTCTCTGGAGGCTGAGCCCCACCTTCCCCTATGTTCTGAGAGGGTAAGGGCTGTGGTATCTGTGTATACTGAATCTTGGGTGGGATGACAGGAACTGCCTTGGCCTGACACATTTTGACCATGAAGGAGGTTCTCACAGCTGACACGCTCACAGGAGCTGAGTTTCGCCGGCCTGTCAGGGCATGGGCAACAATGTCCAGGTCTTGGGTTTCCTGTGAGTGTGTCCAGGGGGCTGCTTTATAGTGAGAAGAAGTTGACCAGGTGACCTTGGGGTCTCCCAGTTCAGAGACCTGTATTCCAGGTGTACTAAACGAAGCCCCATTCTCAAGTCGGAAGAGGTCAGTGATGGGAGTGGCAGAGTCCAAGTTGAGGGAAGAAGGCCTGTTTTTCCCTTTTGAGGGCCCACATTCAGTGGTCTTCAACTGTAACTTTGGGGGGTGCTCCCCAGGCGAAGTGCTTTCTTGAGCCCTGGGAGAGCTTTCCTTGCTGCTGCCTGGTTCAGGAGCAGCATCTTGCTTCATCTGAGGGTTGTTGAGTTCCATCTGCGGCCCCTGCTCTTCTTCTGCTGATGGGCTGATGGGATTGATTTCTGCTGGTTTAGATAATATACCAGATTTGGGAAGAACCTCTACCCCTTTTAGGCCAGAGAACTCTCTGAAGGCCTTCAGGGCTTTCTCATCCCATCCAGTAATCTTGATCCTGGCTGCCAGGGGCTGTAGAGGCTCGCAATTCCTCTCTGTTTCAAGATTAGCACAGCTGCTGGAGGAGGGCACCTCGAGAGTCCACTGGCTCTTATCAGTGGTTTTGCTATCTAGAGAATGGCTCTGGCGAAGGCTGGGTCTGTGGTGAAGCCTCCTCTCTAATCGATGGCCTTGGAACCCTTGCACCTGGGACTCCTGTACTTCTTTCAGGGTGGGAGAATGAAGGGGACTAGTCACCCACTGGGGCTCTTCCCAGGGCTCTACCATCTCCAGGCCATGATGAGCAATGTCTGTCACAGTGTCATCTTCATCACAGTCTGAAGGCTCCTGTACTGAATGGGAGGCATCCCCCTCTTCTTGTGTAGCGACTTCGACTTCCTTTGTTGGGCTTTGAAAACCAGGACGTTTGCCCTCAGGAGCACTATGCTTTGCATTTTGCCTTTCATTTTGACTTGCAATGGCCTCCTCTCTTTGACAGAAGCTAGGGATGCCAGGGCTGTCTTTGGACTTAGGCTGCTCTGTACAGGGATTTGTCCTGGAATCCCTGGATCCATCTTCTCTGTCAGGGCCTTCCTTTGACAATAAGATTTGAGGTTCCTCCTCCAAAGGAGTAGGAGGGGGAGGAGCAGGAGGGAGTGGAGGAGAGAATTTTCCTGGGCCTCTCAGTTCCATCCTTGCTGGAGAGGTTATCTTCTCAAATGGAACTATTTCCAGAGGAGCCAGACTGGCCCGGTCTGGGCTGAGCCCCAGCTCTGGTTCTAATCTAGGGAGGCTTACTGGCTCCAGCTTCTCTCTATTGGCTACTATGGCAGCCCCCTGTGTGCTCTGATCGGTTGAGTCCCTAGTCCATGCTTCCAGGGGTGTGGTGCTACCAGGCAAGCTCCCAGGGGGCTCTGGGAAAGGAACCGGGGCTGGATTTGACTCAGTAACTGGGCTTGTGTTCAGAGCAGGTGGTGGTAACGAAGAGAGCTCCTCCTCTGATTCGATGATTTTCAGTTCCTGTTGGATTTCAGGCCAGATCAGGGCATGAGCTAAGTCATCTTCATCCTGAAAAACATCAAGAAGTTGATTACTTTAGCACTGAGGACTCTGGGTGTTAACATCCACCATGACTCTAGTGAGAGAGAAGGGCCGAGTGGTGCCAGCAAATAAAGGAGGCAACAGCAGTAATCTTTGTGGGTATCTGAGTGCCTACCATGTGCCATAAAACACTTCTCCCTGTTCAACTTTTCCAACACTCCAGGAGACAAACACTAGGGTCATCGAATAGATTAAACAATTTACCTAAATTATACAGCCCAGACCAGGACTGAAATTCAGCCCTCCCCACATTAGAATATGATCCATTGCTGACCTTCTTCTCACCTGGTTCTAAGCACATGCTGTTATTATTACTGTTGCTATGAAAGTGCCCTGCCCCTGAGCTAGGCCTCTAGCCCTCTACTTACTTTAATGAGTTCCTTGCATTTCTTACCTTAGGATGTAATTCTGTTGTGAGGAGAAAGAGCTCAGGGGGGCACCTCCATCCAATGGGATGTAGGTCTTTCTGAGGAGTCTGATCTGTTGCTGACCTGTCATCCCTTGTCACCTGGCTCTGGTTCTGGGGTACTGGGACTGAACCTAGGGCCTCATGCATAGGTAAGTGTGCTATGCTCTTGGCCCCCATTTCCCCTTCTACTTCTTTAAACTAACTCTCCAGGATTATGTGGCCAAAAGCAACTGGATTCTACCACACTGCATTTAGTCATGTGTAGTTACTCTGCCTACCAGCCTTTTTCTCGTTTCTTTACTGTTCTCAGTTTATACTCGTTGATCTCTTACTCAGAAATAATAGCTTTAGACAAACGAATGAAGCTGTGTTCCCCTCCATTTTACTCTTTGTTGACTCAATACACGGACCACACTGGAACTTTCTGCCCAGTCCAGAAGCCTAGAAGGTGTCTCTGTCCCTCCTTCCTTACTCCATAGCCAACACACCAAGTCTTCCTCATTCTACCTCCTAAGTGTTAACAGCTCTTGAATCTGTTCACTTCTGTCTCCACAGTCATCACTCTAGTCTGAGCCCCTAGCTTTCTTCACCTGGTTTGCCACATACTGACTCTAACAGGCATGCCCTTTCTCCTCTCCTCTAAGCCATTCTCACACTATGGTGACCCTTTAAGGACAAAACCCTAAATAGATCACATAGCTTCCCTATGCCCTGAGGTGGATCCTGAAACACTTCCAGGCAGTCCTCTCAGACTGTCTCCTGCTTCTGCCTGGGCCTCACTTTCTCTAGTCCAGTTATCCTGGCCTCATTCCCAATCCTTCCCACCACTGGGTGGTCCACTGCAAAGAAGCCCCAAGCTGGAGAAGTGGGCTCTGTTTTTGTTTGTTTATTTGTTTTGAGCCTGGGTCTCATATAGCTCAGGTTGACCTGTAACTTATATAGCCAAGGATCACCTTAAACTTCTGATCTTCTAGCTTTCATTTCCTAACTGCTGATTACAGGTGTGTGCAATCACACCTGGCTAAGAAGTGAGCCTCTTGAAGTGTCCTTTAAAAAGATTTTAAAAGTACAAATTAAAAAGGGGGCTAGGAAGATGGCTCAGGGAGTGAAAGCCTAGCCTTGCAAGCTTGTTAACCCGAGTCTGATCCCCAGACCCCCATCTACAAAGCTGGATAAGATGGCACACATCTGTAATCTCAGCACTTCTGTGGGGAGATGAGATGCAGAGACAGGAGAACTGCCTGGAAGTTCATGGGCCAGCTAGCCTGGAGTACACAGTACCACAGAAACAATAAGAGAGGCGCTGCCTCAGCAAAGTGAAAGGGAAGAACCGATGTTATCCTCTGATCTCCACACGCATGCCACGGCACATACACACATATATATATACACATGCACATAATAAAAATAAAAAGTAGGGGCTGGAGAGATGGCTCAGCGGTTAAGAGCACTGACTGCTCTTACAGAGGACCCAGGTTCGATTTCCAGCACCCACATGGCGGCTAACAAACATCCGTAACTCCAGTTCCAGGGGAATTCGACGCCTTCTTCTGACCTCCCTGGACATTGCATGACACAGGTGCACGTACACACATGCAGACAATACACTCATACACATAATAAAAAATAAAAAACAGATTAATTAAATACAATCTCTTTTGCAGAAACTGATTCTTAAATTTTTAAATCTTTAATTGCACTGGTTGTGGCTGGAACAGCCAGAGTCCACCTTACCATCTCATGGAGGAGCATGGCTTCAGTTCTGGCCCTGAGGCTCTCTTGTGGAATGCTAGGCTCCAGCTGCCTAGGCCCTAGGCTCTCCTCCACCACATTCTCTGCACTTGGTCTCTTCTCTGGTTCTCTTGAAAACTGAGAACCCAAGGAGTTTTCCAAGGTTTTCTCTACTGGGGGGTCTGGCTCCAGGGGAAGGCCTTGGCTGCATTCCACTGTCCCTGGGGTTTCAGGTTCTGCTGTGCTGTCCTCAGGAGCTGTCTTCTTAGCAACAGAGGCTGCAGTGAGGATGTGAGTGATCAGTACAAAGGGTTCATTTCAAGGAAGGCTGCACTAGCACCGTCACTGTTCTGTCTCCTGGCCCTGCTTCACAGGGATGAGGAATTCTCCCAACTCTCTGCCCCTCTCATTCTTTGCCATTTTCTCCTGACAGTGTTCTGGCCTCAGATCCCAGCTGTCATGTAATCCAGTGATTCTAAACCAGGCGTCATTTTGCTCCAAATTCTTTCTGCTTTCTAGGGACATTAGGTATTTCTGAAGACATTTTTGGTTGTCACAACACTGGGGGAGCCCAGTGCTATTGGTACCTGGAGCATAGCTTCTTAAATTGTGTGTTGTGACCCTATATGAGGTTATGTAACTGAATGTGCAGGTTGTGAAAAATTTGGCAAAATTAAAGGTGCCTGGATATACAACAACCAAAAAAAACAATTCAAAATCAAATAAAAACGAATCTCAGGTGTTTCTTGCCATGCTCCGCTATGTTGTATTGCTGCGCTTCGTGGCAATCTTGGTTCTGAACACTGTGAATACCATCATACCATGTAATACCAACAAATACTGCCTGATACAACTTGGTTCAGATTTGAGACCTGTGTGTTAGGAACTGCAGTGCTTTCCCCCCTTATTTCTTTATGAGTTTTAGGGGAAATTACTTATTCTTTTATAAGCAAATGGAGATAATAATAATTATCCATACCTCAGAAGGCTGTTGTGAGAAGTAAGATTATACATATAGGGTACATGTATAATATGTGAGATTATACATGTAGGGTACTTAAGTATGCAACAACATAGGACATGCTGAAAAAAGTTAGCTACTGTTAAATAAAATAGAGTCATTCTGGTGATTTGACGACCAGCCAACCTTTTGCTTGGGGGTTCTCCCTACTTCCATTTTAAGTGGTTTAAATTGACTGCTGATAAAAGAATCCCTCTTAACAAAGAAGGAGAGTAATAGTGGCCCACTAGTGGCAGCACTAGGGAGCCTCAGACAGTGGGTTCTTTTGCCTGAGATGAGCTCTGGCTCAACAACAATAAAACAGCAACCTCAACAACAAAAACCCTTGTTCACTCCAGACACAGCCCAGAGACTTAAGCCTCGCCCATCTTACCCTTGCTAGCCTGGCAACAGTGATTAAGGCTGGCCTGAGGCCCAAGAAGACCCAATCAAAATTTCTCTGCATTTGATATGAGAAACTCGGGGAGCGCTTGCTCCATGCCAGGGTTGTTAGCCCTGCTCTTTGCAGATAGGAGGTAGAGGATGGAGGGATGAAGAGAAAATAAGCTCCAAAGTGCAAATCCCTCAAATTCTCGCTCTTCAGCTTGGAATCCCATGACTTTTTCCTGCTGATTTCTTACTATGTGAGCTAATAAAATAGTATAAAACATTTATTGAGTACTATACATTGAGTACTTCTATACATTGGATACTGTTCTGAGATCTTTGCATGTGTTAACTAAATGTTCACACAAATGTACAAAGAAGGTGTGGTTATTAACACTGTTATTTTCTACATTAAGAAACTGAGGCACAGAGTGATTAACTTGATGATTAATGGTACAGCCTGAATTTACACCCAGTCATATTGGCCCTAGAGCCCACCTTCACAACTGTCTGCCACATTGCCTTGGCAACTGGCCCGTTCAAGCCTGGAGATACACTCTCTCTCCCCTGTTTTACCTGGAGAAGGCTCAGCTCCCTGGGGCTTCTCCTCTTCTGGCAACCCTCCACTCTCTGAGCCCTGGAAAGAAAACTCTTCTAGGCTTGAGAGAGACTGCAGCTCCTTCGGGGGTGTCCTGCACGGAGTGCTGTTAGTGCTAATGACCGCCGACACGCGGAGTGGCACAGACACGGCGAAGGGCTCAGAGATGTTGAGCGCCTTGCGCTGGTGGCGTGGCGAAGGCTCCATCTGGAAGAAGCTACTGGTGAAGACGGATTTGCTGGGGCTGTCGCTTGAGGTGTAGAACATCCCCAGCATCTTTGGGGCAGACTGCTCGCTCTCGGGATCCTCGATGGGGCGGAATACCTTCAGCTGCTCAGGCAGGGGCCGGACCTGACCACCCACCTCACAGCCCCCCTCGGCCCCAGCTGGCATTCCCTCTTGGCCCCATTCACCCTCTTGCTTGCTGAGGTCACAGGAGCTGCCAGTGTTGGTTGTGTGCACTTTTGTGGCTGGAATGAAAAATCCCCCAGTGGTGACTGTTCGATTGAAATTTCCTTTGGTTTCTTTTCCTGGTGAAAAAGAACAAGCACTTGGTTAGTATCCTGGGCTGACACACAGACTGCTGCTAAGGGAAATGGGTCGACTTGTAACTTGTGACTGGGTCTGATAAAAAAAACGTTAAGAGATACCAGCAATTTGGCCACTAAGGCTAGAGATTCAAGAACAAACAGGATTACTTGATGTTTGCTGATGGGTACCAATTCCTGCCAACTGGACACATACCTGCTCCAACAAAGGACATATACTAGGTGCCTAATCAATGTTTACTGTTAGGAATGAATCTATCAACACAAAATCATGACTTGGCAAACACTGTGAAGCTCGTGGCCAGGAAACACCCAAATTCAAGACACAAAAGCATCCTGGCATAAACCAGTGCTTGGGCTCTTTCTGCCCATGATCCCTCTTAGTTTTCAGGTTGTTGATCTTTAATTGGTTCAGATTTTAGTGAAAAGTAGCTGTGGTTTCCTCTGTGTTTACAGGAAAGCTGGAGAAGAAGGCTGTAGCCCTGAGGTAGAGCAGGTAGGGTAAAAAGCTCTTATTTGGGAGGGATGTGGGGTAGATGACTGTGTGATCATAACTACAGGTGAGCAGCCACGCAGCTTATGAAGGTAAGGCTGGGGTAAGCTGCAACCCCCAGCTTAGGACTAAGTATAAAGTCTCACCTTCCACAGGCACCGAACACAGTGAGTCCATGCTTTTAGCTGGCCGGATAGTAGCCTTTTCCACTAAAGACAAAAGAAAAAAAAATATCCCCAATGAACATGAATTAAGAAGAAGCATTCAGAACAATAGGTCAGGTTGTGAGCATGTGAGGAAAATTTCTAGGAACACTTTTCAAGTATTTATAATATATTCCCTTAGAAACCTTTTTCTGTTCTACTCTAGATGGATCCTACTTTCCCAATTGAGTCTGACCTTATAACAACAGGACAAAGACAGATTAAAGTTTTATTAGTGTTTTACAAAGTTATAATTTTGTCAGATGAGAGGTCTTGAATCCAATTTAATTGTACAAAATGTACTCAAGATGAACTCATGGGGTAGAATCCAAGGAACTCTGGGCAACTCATCTCATTTGGCTAGAAAGAAAGATTCTCGGCTGTGGCTTTATCTATCAGCACCAGGAATCTGATATTTCAAGTAAGAGGACTGGGGGAGCTACAGTCACTTGCTCCCCAGGGAGAAGTTTGTAGACTGGCTGTTCTTCCAGTTATTTCATCCACCAACCTTACTGATGAGTAGAGCCCTACCAAACCAAACCCTTTTAGAGCACCTGCACTGTGCTGGGTGTACTGTATGCATCTTTGTAAGCTGCCATCGGGTTTGAGGTAGGGTTTGAAGAAAGCATGGGTTTAAATGACTAAAAATCCACCACCCCAGGCACTGCTATGGTTTGAGTTTGACCCACAAGAGTTCATAAGTTGGAAACTTTGTTCTTTTTTACATTTTGTCGTGTGTGTGTGTGTGTGTGTGTGTGTGTGTGTGTGTCCTGGGGATCAAACTCAGACCATGAGGCTTAGTGGAAGGTGGCTTTACCCACTAAACCATCTTGCTAGCCCCAAACTTAGTTCTGCAATACAACAGGGTTAGGAGGTGGAGCCTAGTTGGTGATGTTTGGGTCATGGGGCATATAATTCATGAATGGATTAGTACCTTTCCTGCTGGAATGGGTTCGCTGCTGTGAGAGTTTGGCCTCCTTTACTCTGCATTCACTTGCTTCCCTTCCTCTTTCTACCATACTGAAGCAACATGAGGCTCTCACCAGAATCCAAGCAGATGCCAGCGTGGTCATGCCTTTGGACTTCCTATCCTCTAGAACTATGGGCCATTATAAACCACTGTCCTTTATAAGTTACCCAGCCCCAGGGATTCTCTTATACTAAAAGAAACAGTATTAAGACAGGTACATCCACAAACACCATCTCTTTTCAGGCTGGAAGGTCATTCCTTACAGGTCAAACTTGCAAAGAGGAAGGGAACTTGGAAGCTGAGATGGAGCACAGTACTAACCACCATTATGGTAACTCTGGATTTAGACAGATCTGGGTTTGAATCCCAACTCTGCCACTTTGGGGCTGTGTAACCTCAGAGAAGTAGCTTGCTTTTTCTAGATTTTTTCATGTGTAAAATGAAGAAAAGAGATCATTGTGAAGACTAAGTGAGAAAAAATGACAAGGTGATTATGTTCTAGGCTGGAATAAATAACAAATTAAAAGTAGTAACTGCTGGGCTGGAGAGATGGCTCAGCGGTTAAGAACACTGGTTGTTCTTGCAGAAGACCCAGGTTCAAATCCCAGCACCCACATGGCAGCTAACAACTGTCCATAACTCCAGTTCCAGGGGATCTGATGGCCTCTTCTGTCTTCCGCGGGCATTGCATGACATGGGTGCACTTACCTACATGCAGGCAATACACTCATACGCATAAAATAAAAATAATAAACTAAAAAAAATTAAAAAATAATTGCTTTTGATTGTTACTGCTGTTACTCAGTATCAACCAGGGCTCAGCAACATAGGGGAAGGCAGGAGGTGGTTGTACAAGAGGCGTCTGGAGTTGGCTCTAGCTGTAAATTGGGCAATAACTTGTTTTTGTTCCTCTTTTAAAGATCCCTCTTTTTCCCCCTTATTCCAAACCCTCCTCTTTCTATGAGGCTTTCACTTAGCCAATTGGCCTCCTCCACTTGGGGATGCCTCCACTTGGGGCCACGTGGAGGACAGTCTATTGCTTCACTTGAGCCTTCAGCAAGGGCGGCTAGTGCTTCCAACCCCCTCGCTTTCAATAGCATGCCAGGATTCTTACCCTTCGAAGAGCTGCTATGCCCACAAAGTCATAAACTGATTTATTATTCCAAAGCTGCCTGGCTGGTGTCTCTCTGTCTGTATCTTCTGAGACATGCTTTGCCTTTTCTCTGTAGTAACTAAAATTTCAGAACTCCTTGGCTCAGGTGATATTGTTTTTCTAGGTTATTGGTCTGGCCTCCTGAAGGTACATATCCTAGCCCTAGTTTTTTTTTTTTTTTTTCATGTTCTGGCTTTGAACACACTATGTAGCCAAGGATGACCATGAATTCCTGATCCTCCTGCCTCTATAATCCTCCTAAATACTAGGATTACAGGCATGTACCTGCCCTGTTTGAACTCTGGGCTTTGTGCTTGCTATATTAGACACTCTCCTGAGCTGCATCCTCAGCTCTTATCCCCTAGTTATCTGGTAACCTTTGTGTCCTTCTCTTAATTACTTCACTTAAGGGTAAAATCTATGGTGCTGTGGCTTTGGCTCAGAGGGGTTTATTTTCACATTAAACAAAAAATTAAACTGAATCTGTTCAAATACTGTGTCTGGTATTTGGTCCAGAGTTTACGTACCTGTATTCAGTTGCTACCCTAGTTTTTTCTTATCTTTTTTTTTTTTTTTAAATCTCTGTTCAGGTTTCTAACTATGCTTAAACATGCCTTTCTCTCACTGCCAACCCAATAAACTCCAGTGGTGTTCACGGTGAATCAATTTTTTTAAATGCCCTTAGGGGTCTGGGGAAATGGCTCAGTAGGTAAAGTGCTTTCTATGTAACCATAAGTACTTGACTTTGGATCCCCAGAACCCACATAAAATCCAGGCCTGTAACCCTAGTGCTGAGAAAGTGGCGACAGATGGGTCCTAGGTCCTAGGGGTTTCTGGTCAGTCAGTCCAGCCAAAATGGTTCAGTGAGAGACTGTCACACACACACACACAAAGGTGGAGAGCAATAGAGGAAGACACCTGATGTGGATTGCTGACCTCCACATGTGTATGCATGGGCATGTACACACAAATGCATATACCACATGCATACACATTTTTAAAATACCCTTAGTTGTGGAAATTTTTAACATATTATTTACATGTTAATCTTTGGATTCCTTTTTACGTGCATATTTCACAAAACCTAGCATGCCCATGTGCCACATACAGAAACCACACGAGAAAATTATATTTAGGGGTTCTGTGGCCCGTCTTTGAGTACAGATTCCATTAGAATTATGACCATCAGTCATAAACTGTGGACCTGAGCTTTAGTTTCCAGAGTTCCCTGCAGTGCTGTTCTGGTTAAAGCAGTTACTCTTGCAAAAGCCATGGTCACAAGGAACCACTTGTATTGACGACAGTGGCTCTTCTGTTTATTCCTGCATCCCACTAAGAGTCAGCTGGTTTGGTGATCACTTCCTGATTAGTTGGTTCCAAGACCTTAGCCCAGTGGTTTTCAACCTTGGCTGAATATTAGAACAACTTGGGGAGCTTTTAAAAAGTTACCAATAGGTCATTAAGAGTAAAAACAAATTGGTTTATCTGGACCAACTGTATGGCCTTAAACACCCAAAAGGAAAGTATAACCAAAGATTAAAGGGGCCAATATAATTTCTTAAGAGTCCATATGCATAGCTAAAGGCTACATAACAAGCAACAATGTCAGATAGGAGATACCTTCTTTTGAGTTGTTGGCCAGGGTGGCCAAAGTGACTCCCGGATAGTAACCCAGCATAGAACTGGGAAAATGAACAACAGATCCCAGTCTTATCTAAAGGAATATTGGCAACTGATTGCCACTAGATGACGAACAGCTGACCCTCCTAAAACAAAGACCTCTAGATAGGCTGACTAGATTCACCAGATGGACAAGTAGTGGGGAACGGCTGGGGTGGGGGCGACAACACAGCGGACAGTAGCAGGGATAACAGTATAAGGGCTCTAGTGGGGGGAGGGAGGTTATGGGAGGTTGCCATCTGGGAAGTGTGTGTATAGTCGAATTAGATGGTATGGGATGTTCTCTGTGATATATACACGTACACAGAAAATCCAATTAAAAAAATTACATTTGAGGAAGAATCATAGAAACTTACATCATGTTAATTAGTAGAGGTGGTAAACATTTTCGTTTAAATGTACCCGATGACTTTATAGGTATGCACAGGTGCCAAGGATACATACAGATTAGAGATGCATGCGCCCACATGTCAGTATTAGCAAAAACAAGTGTCTTTCTGTAAGAAACAGTGTATTTTAAAATGCAATAGAGTTCTTTTTTTTTTTTTTTTTTTCGGTCTTTTTGCGACAGGATCTCCCTGTAGCCCCAGCTGTCCTGGAACTCACTATGTAGACCAGGCTGGCCTTGAACTCACAAAGATCCACCTGCCTCCTCCTCCCGAGTGCTGGGATTAAACGCATGTGCCACCACGCCTGGCCAACAACAG